TTTGTGAGCTACTGGCATTAAAGTTTTGAGGGAGTGATTTGGCTACTGCATAGGTTAATATGCTGTGGAACCATCCTTCCTGGGCTAAGACAAAAATGTATGAGCTGGAGGCTAAAAAACTCTGAGCCAGCTCACACTAACTCAGCTTAGAGGGAACACTGGAGTCCAGTAGCACCTTAAAAAATGAACGACATTTTCCAGGGTGTAAGCTTTTGGGAGTAAAAGCTCACTTTTGTGAGATATGGTATCAGACAAAGCAAGCTTTGACTCACGAAAGCTTATATCCTGGAAAACGTTGTTCATCTTTTAGGGTGCTATTGGGCTCGAATTCTGTTCTCTCCCACTCTGCTACCCTTAATGGCACTCAGACCTTGGACATTTTCCAGGAACATCAGGCTGTGGTCTGGAGGACTGAAACTTCCCACAAATAGTTAAGCAGCTCGAGAGCTGGAGGCAGGCCCCAAGACAGGATTTGCCCACCTTTGCACTGTAATAGGAAAGCCCGGGTGAAGGGTGTTGGTCAAACTTGTAGCGGTGGCCAAATGGCATCTTATTGCCAAGTCAACCCTATGATCTCCCAAACTATGGCGGTCACAGAGAGCTGAAAGCATGGAGCTCACTGCCACCCCATTGTCCCAAAAGGCGTGCCGATTCCCATTACTAGCTTAGGGAGCCACTTCCTGGTTAGAGGCCAAGACTGTCTCACATCTCCTAAAATGGCGATGCAACTGAGCAAATTCCAGCAGGGCAGCCACGTAGCCACCAGCGCATACCAAAGCGCTGAAAGCCACTCCAAGAGACTGATAAGTCACTTGTGAACCTTCGGAGAGCAGGAAGAGAGCTGGCACGTCCTTCGGGCAGACTCAGACGCTCCCTTCTCTCACCTCAGGGCAGGCGGAGATTAATGGCGGCAGATACATGATGTGTGTTTTTATATATAAACTGCAAAGAGCAGCTGCAAGAGCCCCCAAATCGTATCAAGGTGGCGGTATGTGGGTGGGAAGGGGAGGCCGTGGCTCAGGGGAAGCGCCTCTGCTTGGCATGCAGAAGGTCCCAGGTTCAATCCCCGGCATCTCCTCTTAAAAGATCAGGTAGCAAGTGATGTGAACAGACCTCTGCCTGAGACCCTGGAGAGCTGCTGCCAGTCTGAGTAGACAATACTGACTTTGATGGACCAATGGTCTGATTCAGTATAAGGCAGCTGCATGTGCTCCTGGCACCCCCCCTCTGCCCCCCCCCCCGGTGAGGCAGTGGCACTACTGTACTCTTAGCATCATTGTTTAAGCTAATGATTGTTTTTTAGCTATTTTAAATTGCTTTAACTATGTATGATACAAATTCATTACGTTTACACCAACCTGAGCCCTGTCCTGGCAGGGGGAGGGTGGTTTAAAATCTAAGGCAATGGATGGATGGGTGGGTGGGTAGGTGGATGGATGGATGGATGATGTGCTCATGTGAGATTAAACCTTCCCCTATGCCGTTTCGCCCAGACCTGGATGGTCCAGGCTAGCTTGATCTTGTTATATCCTGGAAGCTAAGCAGGGTTGGCCCTGGTCAGTATTTGGACGGGAGACCACCAAGGAAGTCCAGGGCTGCTACACAGAGGCAGGCAATGGCAAGCCACCTCTGTTCTCCTCTTGCCTTGGAAGAAGAAGAGATTGGATTGATACCCCGCCCTTCACTACCCAAAGGAGTCTCAGAGTGGCTGACAATCTCCTTCCCCTTCCCCTCCCCACAGCAGACACCCTGTGAGGTAGGTGGGGCTGAGAGAGCTCTTTCGAGGACTGCCCGTGAGAGAACAGCTCTGAGAGAACTTGTGACTGACCCAAGGTCACACCTACAGCTGCATGCGGAGGAGTGGGGAATCAAACCCGGTTCTCCCAGATAAGAGTCCGCGCTCCTAACCAGACACTACACCAAACCTGGGGGGGGGGGGGTCATCATAAGTCAGCTGTGACTTGACACCACTTTCTGCCACTACATTGTTTTCCCTGATCAAAACTGCCCTCCCCTCCCCTGAGCTGCTACTACCCTCCGTAGACCAAACAGACAGAGTAGGTCTTTTTTCTCCTTCTCTTGGTTTGTAGCAACTCAAGGGGGTTATTTTTACTAGGGAAATGTGCCACCTCTGCAGTGTTAACCAGGGTCCTCCACTACTTTTTCAGTGCTAAGGGAAACAGTCAGCTAACAGGGAACCCAACCAACAGGGAATCTGCCCTTAATTTTTACACATTCAGCATGGATATGCCCTGATTTCTTACCCACAGCCCCAGTTCTTCTAGACAGCACAGGCAGGTAAATGCAGATGAGCTAGATGAGGCTGGATGGGGCAAGATGAGCAACTTCCTGCTCACCTAGCCCTAAACCTCAGCAAGGGCGGTACGGGGCAACTATTAAATTAATTAATTGATCCATTGATTGAAAACGAAAGGGGGTGGGGTGGAGTTTCAGCCCAGGACAGACGAGGTAAACAAAAAGGTTGGGGGGAGGGAATAGAAAAAATGACTTCTATGTGGGAATGTAAATGTCGATTGCGAAAAAAGCTGAAATTATATTCCAGAGACTAATAAAATCATAAATATTAAAAACTGCCCGTCATACATAGATTTTTTGGTTACCTATAGATGTACTGTGCCTTGGTGTAAAAAACATTATCACAAATTTGTCCTCATATATCTTCATATTTATCATTTGATTAAAGTTTTTGGAATATAAATTTAGGGTTTTTTTTGCAATTGACATTTATATTCGCATAGATAAAGTCCTCCCCCCTCTTTTGGTTACTCAATTTATATTTGCAGCCATCTCCCCAGAGACCTGCTCAAAGCACATCACCAGTGAAAACTAAACACAAGTAAAAGTTATACCCCCTCTCCCCGAAACCCCCCCAAAAAAACCAACGTAAAGGATCTATAGTAATATAATCAGGCTGCAAGATGTGACATTAGATGTTACATTCGATGACAAAAAAGGGAAAAGGGAAAAAAACTGAACCTAAAACCTAGAATTCAGAACCTAAAAAGGTTAGTCAAGAATAGAAGAGGGCCAACTCTAAAAATCTAATTATGAAACATACAAAAATATACACGTATTTATTCAACACAAATTAAAATAACAAACAAGGGCCCATTCATACCTCATATACAAATATAAAAACATACAAGGGCTAATGAAATAGACCTAACGCGTTTTGGCCTTTACAGGCCTTCCTCAGAGGTCTAATACAAACAGAACATGCTGGCTGATATGTACAAATATATACAATCATACATATATCCTATAGGCCCAACACCTTTTTGATCAACACTGCTTTTAACCTAAGGAACATTTTATTGGGAACATTTGGCTGTACAATCTCAGGAGAATATATAGTTGACCAGAGCAATCGTTTTCTGGTCTTTATTCCATATTTTGTATATGTATGATTGTATATATTTTTACATATCAGCCAACATGTTCTGCCCTTGTTTGTTATTTTAATTTGAGTTGAATAAATACATGTATATTTTTGTATGTTTCATAATTAGATTTTTAGAATTGGCCCTCTTCTATTCTTGACTAACCTTTTTACATTCGATGGCAATACATTTTTTACTGTTGTTTTTTCCCCACTTGTGAGCATAATTTTCCTTGCTGTGCTGTGAATTAGGGACCATAATGTAAGATCTGGGTTCCTTAGTCTGGCTTACATTGTTAATTTTTGTCAATATGTGCATTCTCTTTGTTTTTGTCCTGTGGGCTTTAAGCAATGAAATCTTTTTTTAAAAAAAATAGTGATAATGAATTGATAATGGTTCGACATGCATGCAGGTCATAACTCAATAACACATTAGATCAATCTGTTTTTTAAAAGTATTTTAAAAGCTGTGCTGAGTCATAAGAACATCAGGAGAGCCCTGCTCAATCAGACCAATGGTCCATCTAGTCCAGCATCCTGTCTCACACAGCGGCCAACCAGTTCCCCCGGAGGGACAACAATAGGGCACAGAGGCCGAGGCCTTCCCTTGATGTTGCCTCCTGGCTCTGGGATTCAGAGGATTATCACCTCTGGATGCGGAGGTTCCCCGCAGTCACCGTGGCTAGTAGCCATTGATAACTCTATCTAATCTAATGGCTTGCTTGTGTTGCTGGTACTTGAACACATGAACACATGAAGCTGTCTTATACTGAATCAGATCCTTGGTCCATCAAATTCAGGACTGTCTACTCAGACTGGCAGCAGCTCTCCAGGAAGAAAGACTCAATGCCCCGTAGGTCTGATCCACCAGGCCTCCTCTTAGCTTCCTAACATGAGCCCAAAACCACTCGCAGCTGTTTGCACCGGGGAGGGGGAAGGGTCCATCTTCATGTCTTTGGTTCCCCAACAGCCTTACGCCGAAAGTCCCATCTACGCAGGCCCATGTGGCCCCACCCCCCTCTAGAGCAGGATGGTTCAAATGCCAGTCCTGTTTGGAGCATGAGTCCCCGAGCGCGAGGCCCTGAATTAGGAAACCCAGTTCACACAGCAGTGTGTAAGGCCTGCTTTTGAATACAGAATTTACATGGAAAACACTTCAGAATCAGCGACGAAAATAGAACCGCCACGGTGGAGTGAGTGGCAGGGGCAGCTGCAGCCGTGGCCATGGGCGATGCGATGATACCCCGCTACGGAGTGCTAGTGGAGCCAACTGACGGGCCGGAGTGGCTGGCTACTCGCCCCTCTGCACAGTAGCCGAAAAGGGCTGCCGTCTGCTGTTCACCCGACACGTCCTGCCTATCTGCTTTCCAGCTGCGAAGGGGCAGGGGGGAGGCGAATGCAATGGTGTAAAGCCAGGGGTCACTGTCAGCCCGGAGAGAAGCTGCCCTATTTATTGCTGTCCGCGCACATCCCGCATTCCCCGGCTATAAATAGAAGGCGGAGCTTCAGCAGTTGCTGCTTAACTGATTTGGAAACATTTCGCATGAGGTCAGCCTAGCCGAGGGGAGAAGGAAAAGAAAGAAAAAAAACCTTACAGTACCTCACAAGGCCCTTTGCTGGGCAGCTGCTCTTCAGAGGAGGCCCATGGCAAGTCTCCAGCTGCTTCCCACGACGGCGAATCCACATGTGGCCCCACAGCAACCTGGGCCTGTGGGACATCAGTGGGGAGGGAATCCAGTAAGTCCGTTTCTCGGATGTTGTCTTCAAATGTCTCCCCTCCGTCTCCTTTGGAGAGGCCGGCCTCTGACACCCAGCTGGGAGGCTGAAGTTCTGTTTCCGAGGCCGTTTTGCCCGGGATTTGAGGCACGTGAACTGCATGTTCCACCTCTGGTGTGGACTCTGTGGTCCACTTAGGATACTGGGTCAGTTCCACGTTAAAGTCCTTAGCTGCTTCGGTCACTGATGTCTCGAGGGCATCCTTTCCCTTCGCTTCCTGTTCAGTTGACCCCTCCTCTGGTACAGTCCTCGTCCAAACTGGAACAGTCTCTTCCGCACTGGAAACATCCACGGTCGGCTGGTAAACATCCGTTCCACCCACATTTTTCTCCGGCCCCTCCTGCTCCGTTTCGAGCTTTGCTCCGACGTCGAAATACATGTCTTTCAGAGAAAAGTACACGTTGGCATGGGAATGCAGGTGTGCTGGACTTCCTGTGATCTGGCTTGGGACCCCTCTGGGTTCCGTTTCCATCAGCTCCCCATTTGTCATTGCTGAGGGTGGGTGTTCAGGTGTGCGGGCGGGCACGGTGTTTTTCGGGGTCGCAACAGTCCTCCTCACCTGTGTCCTGTCTTCTCGTTCGGAAATGTCTTGCTTCGTGCTGGGCAGGTCGAGGGCGTTCTCCTCTTTCTTCTTCTTCTTAGCAGCAAACTCCCTGTTCGTCGGCTTGCTGGTCATAATCTCCACTGTCTCGTAGATATACGTAAGGAAGCCGTTGCCGTTCGCCTCCCCGTTCTCCTCGGCACTCGAGAGAGAGGAGTCCCCGTTGGTCGTCACGTCTGCCTCCAGACGCCCGGTGATGAAATTGTTCGAGAAGAGGGCTTTTGCGTCCAGAGGAGACTCTTTGCTCTTGGCGTGGCTGTCCTCGTTGAGCCTCTGTTTCGGGTCAGGGATGTGCACCTTTGCCACTTCCTCCTTGTCCCAGAGGGAGGCACCGGAGCGCATGCCCACTTCCCCCGTCAGCCGGCGCTTCCGCTGGAACCGGTCTGGGCTCACTCTCCTCAGCTGCTCCGCCTCCACATTCTCCTTCCCGCGCTTTCTGCTCTGCTCTATCTCCCGCAACTTGGCTTCGGCCTTCCGCTTCAGCTTGGCGAACCACCTCTGGTGGATTTTGTACTCCGTCATGGTGCCGACCTCCAAGACGCCTGAACAGGACACAATGCCCTTGCTGTTTCTGGCTGAGGCCTGGTAAATGGCTGCGTCGTCCTCTTTGCAGCTGGAAGACCAAAAGACAACAGCGCTATGAGCAGAGAGCCAGTGTGATGACAGACAAGGACTAGGGAGGCCCGGATTCAATCCCCCTTCCCCCCCCCCCCCAGTTTTATTGCCACTCTTTCTGCCTAACCAATATACCTAGACAAGTGTGGACAATCATGACCCAATCAGAGAACAAATGTAAACGCCCAGGATCCATTAGAAGCATAGCATCGTATCTGAGCCTGAATACTTATTGAGATCAGCGTCCTAGTTGAATGTATTATCTTTCATGACTTTTTGTAAAGCACTTTGAGTAGGAGAGCTTTTGCACTCCTCTAATATTTCCCAAGGAAGATCCAATTTTGAAACATTGTTATATAATCCAGAGACGACGTTGATGATGTATTTTTACACTAGGATTTTCTTATCAGCCAGTTTGGTGTAGTGGTTAAGTGCGCGGACTCTAATCTGGGAGAACCTGGTTTTGATTCCCCACTCCTCCACTTGCACCTGGCTGGACGACCTTGGGCAAGCCGTAGTTCTGATAAGAGCTGTCCTTGAAAAAGAGCAGTTTCTGTCAAGAGCTCTCTCAGCCCCACCTCCCTCACAGGGTGTCTGTTGTTGTGGGGAGGGGAAGGGGAAGGAGTTTGTAAGCCGCTCTGAGACACCTCTGGGTAGTGAAGGGCGGGGTATAAATCCAATCTCTTCTCTCTTCCCTTCTTATGGTTTGAAGGAATTTGTTTATTGTGTTGTGGTGCTTGTTGACCATAATATACAGAAAACGTTTTCTTTGCAAGTCTTGTTGACGGCTTGATCTGTGGGTCAGACTCTCACGACTGTTTTCTTTACACCTGTTCTCTAACCAATGTACCTAGCCATTTCAGCTTCTTGCTTCGCAAAGCCGGTCTAACTGGGATCAGTTCAGGTAACACTGACAGTCCCTTCCCACAAGTGCCACTTCCTGATGCAATACCGCAGGGGTCCCCAACCTTTTTGGGCCTATGGGTACATTTGGAATTCTGTCACAGCATGGTGGCGACAAAATGGCTGCCACAAAATGGCTTCCCGAGGAGGCAGAGCCAGCCACAAAAATGACTGCCGCAGCTTAACCTCAGTCGCACAGTGTAGATCCTCATGCTGTGGGGGCAGCAGCTGCCAAAGCAACATTTAAAAAAAATCTGCCCAGCCAATCAAATCTCCAATAGTCTATCAGAAGCCTTGCTGGGCAAAAGCCCTACCTGCCCCTGCCCACGTCCTCAAAACAGCTGGCAAGTGCCAGAAAAGGTGCTGACAGGCTCCACAGCACCCATGGGCACCGTGATGGTGGCCCCTGCAATACTGTAGTTGAATGGGGACTTACTGGGGCTCTCTTACAAAAGCTAAAATGAAGCAGGGATTTAGCTACGCCCAGAAGTCTCCTGTACGGGGTCCATCGCCACCCCACCCCTTGCACATTCCCGGATAGCAATAAGGGCTTGCATGGAGGAGGAAGAGGAAGAAGAAGAAATTGGATTTATACCCCGCCCTTCACTCAGAGTCTCAGAGCAGCTTACAATCTCCTTTCCCTTCCCCTCCCCACAACTGAAACCCTGTGAAGTAGATGGAGCTGAGAGAGCTCTGAGAGAACTGCTCCAAGAGAGCTGTGACTGACCCAAGGTCACCCAGCTGGCTGCGTGTGGAGGCGTGGGGAATCAAACCCAGTTCTCCAGATTAGAGTTTGCCGCTCTTAACCACTACACCAAACTGGCTGGAGCCAGGAGGCAGGCATTAAGCCAATACTGACTGAGCCTGGAACTGTTTCCCTGTAGGCAAGGATGACTTGACAGCTGGATCACAGGCACCGGCTGTCCCAGGGTGCCCCTGTACAGGTGCGTGCCCCTCCTGCCCTGCTCTCCCAGCATCTGGACCCAGCAAGGCTGTGCACTGTGATCTCTGAACAAATGTGCTGTCCTGCAGCTCCATCTCTCCCATGCAGGTAAAGGCACATGAGCTTCCTTCCCTCGGATGAAATACAAAGCAATTCCTCAACGACTGTGGGGCGAAAGAAGACACTAAGGAGAAGGCAGCAGACTTGGAGGGAGGGGGTTCTGCTCTCTAAGTCTTCCAGGACAATAGGAAAACCCTGATTTTTTTGTTTGTTTTATTACTTAGTGTTAAATAAGTGCTATCATTGGCTGTTTCACTATTATGGCATTATAGCAATCATTCACAACTAGGGGTGTGCAAAAAAACAACAACCGGTATTTCTTGGCTTTGGGTAAATCAGACCCAAAAAATATTGGTAAATGCCGAATTTCCCCAGTCCAGGTATTCGGACTGGGGAAATATTCGGTATTGCTGAATATATTCGGGGCTGATTTACACCACCAGAGGGAAAGGAGGCATGTTAAAATGCCTTCCTTCCCACTAGTAGCCCCTAAAGACTTCCTGTCAATTTCACTCCCCGCTAATCAGGTGAGAGTGAAATTGACAAGGGAAAACCTCTCTCTGCCTTCCCTTCTCTAGCTGGCATGTCCTAGCTGGAGAAGGGCAGGCAGGGAACTCAGGCATGTTTAAAATGCCTTTCTTTCCATCCTCAAGATCGGGGAGGGAAAGAAAGGCATTTAAACATGCCCACCACACTTCCCCAAGTCTCTCCACAAAAGCGGAGAGGCTCATGGAAGAAAGGGGGCATGTGCGCATGCCTGCATTCCCTTCCCCAGCCTGTCCATCCCGGCAGGCAGGCTGGGGAAAGAGGGAAGGCATGCAGACATGCTTGGGTTCCCCTCCTGGTCTTCTCCAGGTGCAGGCACCTGGAAAAGATCAGGAGGGGAACCCAGGCATGTTTAAAATGCCTTTCTCGGGCATTTTCTTTCTCGGGGAGGGAAAGAAAGGCATTTAAACCCAACAGCTGAAGCTATTAGGTTTAATTGAGTCCTTTTTTTGGTAAAGCAAAAAGAACCTTTAAAAAAAAGCCGGATAATATTGGCGTTTTTGGGTTCAGCTATACCGGTAGCCGAATACAGATCTCTGATCTGTATTTGGCTTATGTGATACCCGAAAAATACCGACAAGGTATTTTTTGGGTATCTTTTCAGATTGGCTATAGCCGAATGCACACCCCTATTCACAACCAGATTATTGTGTGTGGATAAGCCAATCCAGTTGCCAAGGATTGCGCACGAATCAGTGTCGTTTTAGATGCAGCCCTGGGGTGCATGGAGGAAGGAACTGCCTTGCTTCAAAGAAATGCCTAGTCACCTCGGTGCATTTTAATGATTGAGTGAGGGAGTAAACAGCTTCAAAAAAGCTGAAATGAAATATCACCGCCCCCTGTCAATTAAATCGTTAACAAAATGGTGAGGCATGGCCATTGGGAGGGAATACATCAGACACACATGTATTTGATTTTGTACAATGGAACACTTTGAAAGGTCACAGAGGTGTGTATCGTGAGAGTTAATATCACAGGCGCTGTCCAGTTACTACTCATGAGGATCCTTTGCAGAATGAAAGACAGCTACACAAGTCTCCATGGTAGCAACTGGGCAGTGGCTGTGACATCACTCTCACAATACTTGTAATCATGTGCAAGGGGCCCTTCGGCAACAGAGAGCTATGCCTCATGTCCAGGCGGCAGAGGTCAAGAGAGACACTGGATTTCAGGAAGCTGGTATGCTAGGGTTGGTGGGGCAATATCCGAGTCCCCCACCCACTCGGCTTGGAAGCAATTGATTGAACGACATCCCTCGAGTCACTCCCCCCTCCTTACTTGTACAACTGCAGTGTATGTCGGTTCCCGTGACGGAAGATCTCATACTTTGGTAAGCCACAGTATCTGTCCATCTCTTCATCGTCTTTATACCACGTCACTTCCGGCTGGGGGTACCCTGAGTAGGACATTACGCGTTAGCAATCCCCTGAACTACGAATACTGTGTCAAAATTCTGAACTGAATACATTCCAGACAGCAACCACGAACCCCTAGAACTGTAGGTCCAGAATGACTGGTGCATAATTGCATTTACGGCATGATTTTTCCTGGTTGCTAAATCCAGGGTGACATGGCTGGCAGAACTTGGACCTTAGCATCAAACAAGTGTAGATGCTGGATAATCCGTGAATGTATCTCTAGCACTTCTTTTATTATCTAATAACAGTTGTGGGGGAGGGGGGATTTGGATCAGGCTCAAGGCACAGAGGGAAGGAATGGTTGTGACCAGTGTTCCCTCTAAGCTGAGTTAGTGCGAGCTAGCTCACAGTTTTTTAGCCTCCGGCTCACACATTTTTGTCTTAGCTCAGGAAGGAGGGCTCCAGAGCAAACTAATGTATGCAGTAGCTGAATTACTCACTCACGACTTTAATGCCAGTAGCTCACAAAGTAGAAATTTTGCTCACAGGACTCCACAGCTTAAGAGGGAACATTGGTTGTGACTCAATCTTCCCCCAGGAGGAGCTATTTGTCCTATTGGAGGAATTGGGGTTGGTGATGGAAAGTGCCCTCAAGTCGTAGCAGACGTATGGCGGTCCCATAGGGTTTTCAAGGCAAGAGATGTTCAGAGGTGGTTTGCCATTGCCTGTCTCTGCGTAGCGACCTTGGACTTCCTTGGTGGTCTCCCATCCAAATACTAACCAGGGCCAACTCTGCTTAGCTTCTCATGGCATCCCTGTAGGGCATTCAAGGCAAGAGACGTGCAGAGGAGGTTTGCCATTGCCTGCCATCCAAGTACTAACCAGGGCTGCTTAAAATCAGGCTAGCCTGGGCCATCCAGCTCAGGTTGCAGAAACTTACAAGTCACTTTTGTGTTTTCTATGCTTTCCCCAGCAGAGCAAACAAATATCAGTGCCAGGAGACCGTTTGAGGTCAGGAAAAGGTTGCACATATGTGCAGGGAGGGGGGAACGGTAGACTTCTCCCCCCGATGCTGCAGCTCTGACCTGAATCGGGAGCCTCCACAGCTGCTTGAGTGATAAAATACATGTCAGAGATCCGCTTGCAGGTCTTTCAGTGCCTCATTTGGTTTCTGACTGCCATGGCTCCATATGTTACAGGAAGCAGGAGAAAGCGCAAAGTATACAGGATAGAAAGGGACCCAGGACACAATACCGACCGCTGAAACCTCAGTGAAACCCCAACCACTGAAACCTTGGTGCAGCCATCAGAGGGGAAGAGTTCCAGAACCGTAGTAGAGACCATTCCATGTGCCAAACATTTAAATGTCTCAGGACGTAAATACAGCCATGCTGGATCAGACCAATGGTCTGTCCAGTCTATGCAACTCTTTCCTACATTTCTGAGGGCCACCCCACGTCATTCCCCAAAAGCTGGTTATTCCAAAAGCTAAAGGAGCGCTGGCCTCCCAGCCCTATGCCATTAGTGCCATTTCACCATCCATGTCATGAGGAGTGACATGAGCGAGGTTTATAAGATTATGCACGGGATAGAGCAGGTCGAGAAAGAAGTCCTTTTCTCCCTTTCTCACAATACAGGAACTTGTGGGCACTCGGTAAAATTGCAGAGCAGGTGGGTTAGAACAGATAAAAGGAAGTCCTTCTTCACTCAAAGAGTGATTAACACATGGAATTCACTGCCACAGGAGGTGGTGGCCAGTGTTCCCTCTAAGCTGAGTTAGTGTGAGCCAGCTCACAGTTTTTTAGCCTCCGGCTCACACATTTTTGTCTTTACTCAGGAAGGAGGGCTCCAGAGCAAACGAATGTATGCAGTAGCCAAATCGCTCGCTCACAACTTTAATGCTGGTAGCTCACAGAGTAGAATTTTTGCTCACAAGACTCCACAGCTTAGAGGGAGCATTGGTGGTGGCGGCTACAAGCATGGAGGGCTTCAAGAGGGGATTAGATAAGCATATGGAGCAGAGGTCCATCAGTGGCTATTAGCCACAACATATAGATAGGAACTCTCAGGGTGGGGCAAGTGATGCTCTGTATTCTTGGTGCTTGGGGGGGGGGCAAGAGTGGAAGGGCTTCTAGTGTCCTGGCCCCACTGGTGGACCTCCTGATGGCATCTGGTATTTTTGGCCACTGTGTGACTCAGAGTGTTGGACTGGATGGGCCATTGGCCTGATCCAACATTGACTACTTTGTGTGGCAGAGGGGACAGTTGATTAGGTTGGGGGGGGGGAGATATCAGAATAGCTACACTGGGGGGCATACTGCCCAGTGAGTAGTGGGAGGGCCACAGTTACTGAAATCGTTGCACACTTTTAATTTTCAAAATAACATTGTTGGAGAGCGAAGAGGCTTAGAGCGATGCCGCAGGTGCCACCCTGCAGCTGCCGAAAGGCCACCCGAAAATGACAAGCTGGGATACAGCCCATTGTCACAAGAGCCAAGACTGCGATTGGAGGGGGGCATGTTCCCCCCCCTTCTGCCATGACCTATAGTGACCCCACGGGGTTTTCAAGCCAAGAGACCTGTTCAGAGGTGGTTTGCCATAGCCTGCCTTTATATGTAGCAAACCTGGACATCCAAGTACCAATCAGGGCTGACTCTGCTGAGCTTCCAAGATCTGATGAGATCTGAAGGTGAGTTTATGGGGGGGGGGGATAAGGTACGATGCAGATTTAACCACATAATTGTGTGGCTGCTCAAATGTGTACAATATCTTGTCGGGGAGACAGGTCTGTAGCTACAGTGGGGCGTTTGGGGCCCCACCCCCTTAATTAAAAGCCCCGCCCCACCAATAGCCATGCCAGAAATCTTTTTTTTGAGGAGAGGCCCCCCCACTGCCTGCTGTTGGCAGCACCTAGAGTGAGATCGCCGCAGCTTGCCCTCTCCCTCCCACTGCGGAATCTTGGGTAGCATCCTGGGACCTGGGAAAAGAAAGCTCAGGAAGCATTTAAATGCCCTTTAAGTTCCCTTCCACAGGGCAAGAAAGCTTAGAAGGGCACTCAAGACTGGCACCTTCGAAGCAACTCCAGCAATCCCCCTTTCTGCTAGCCCAGTCCTGCTGTAGACCACCTAGGTCTCGGTGAGTCTTTCAAAAGCATTCCCATGAGCCTTTGGGAAACATGCAAATTGATTAACTGTAATTTAACTGCCCCCCCCACAACAAAAAATCCTGGCTACAGGCCGGGGGGGAGAGAGAGGCAGCACTTATGTAAGAGAATCTGGCCTATCGGATGTCAAATGAACTTACTCTAGATGGAACTACATTAGACCACAAACTAGCAGAATTATTGGCTGATTTTGCACTAGAGCTGCCTCGATGTCGCGCCGCCGTTTGCCCCGATACTATCGGTCCATTTCACACCCGAAGCCGCGGGGCTGCATTTGACCCGTGGCTTCGCACGATTTCCTCCGCAGTTTCGTGATCCTCAAAAAACAGGATCATGAAACTGCAGGGGAAATCGGGCGAAGCCGCAAGTCAAAATGCAGCCCTGCAGCTTCGGGTGTGAAACTGACCAATAGTATCGGGGCAAACGGCGGCGCAACATCGAGGCAGCTCTAGTGCGAAATCAGCCACTGAAAAATGGATCCCGTTTGTAATGTCTTAGAACACTAGGTTCCAGGATAATGGTCATTTTTATGTGATCTTCCCTACGTTAAAACTTTTTGTTTGTTATTTAACGATGCAGTTGTTTACTTCTATATTCAAAAGTAATCTTTAAAAAAAAAAAGTCCTGCAATCATCGATTCGCGTGGAGGGGAGATATAAGAAAATCCCTTATGCAATTAGCAGGGGTCATTTCGTAGAAAAAGAGCTAGGGGAACTCATTAGCATAACTCATTAGCATATGCCACACCCCCTGACTTCAGGGGCCCGGCGGTGGACCTGCAAGGCCAGCGGGAGTGCGAGGAAGCCCCGCCAAGGCCCTCCCTGGCCCCAGGCAGGCAGGGGTGGGGAGAGGCAGGGAGGAAGCAATTTACCCTCCCTCTTCTCCTGCCTCCTCCTGGCTGAATGAGGGCCGGAAGCGGGGCGGCCGGAAGCGGGGGGCGGGGCTTTGTCATGTGCCGCGCCCACTGCACCTCGCCCGGGGGAACTGCGTTCCCCCGCGTTCCCCCCCCGAAATGACCTCTGGCAATTAGATATTGCGGATGCAATAAGAGAGAAATAGAAACAGTTGAGCATGTACTTCTACATTGTAATTTGCTAAACGACATTCGAGCAAAATTCTTGGAAGTCCCCCTTAGCAAGGTAGCATGCCAACCGGACGGAAGCAAGCTACACTACCTCCTTACTTCTCGAGATTCGGAGATTATTGAATTGACTGCCAAGTTCTTTTATGGTCTTATAAAACGGAAAAATGTCCCTGATCATTCTAATTGAGTTCAATGAGTTAGTATAATTTAATTCAAGGTTTTGCGGTTGGGAAATTTTTATCTTGCTACAATTTTAAGCTCATACAAACAGACATACCTTTGTAATGTTTCTAGAAGTTATCTATTTTTCACAAATTTTATAGGAGTGTTTTACCCTATGGCAACTGTTTAATATTTTATGGCAATAAAGGTATTTGTTTGTTTGTTTGTTGATTCGCGTGGAAAGGAAAACCCCACCTGCTGACCCTGCCGTGCAGCTCTTGGCAGTTTTGCATAAATCGGGGAAAACAACTGTTTTGTAAGCCCGACTTGGGTACAGTCGGGCAGATCAGGTGTTCCCTTTGCGGTCTCATTGGACATAGATGGGAGATGAGAACATCCCTGCTGTTCTCGGAAGCGAGCCCGCTTTGGGCAGATTGATGCCTAAGGTTAAAAAACAGACACTTAGCAGAGCCCTGGCAGCTCCGGGGAGAACCAAAGCATCGCAGCCTGTAAACCGAACCCAAAGTTTCCATTGGACAGAAGCAACGGCGATTGCATCACAGGCCGGCTTGTGTCCTCTAAATACCATTGGATGACAGATGCCGCCTGCCCTTTCCGGACAATGACAT